AAGGTCTTGACAAAAGAGGAGATACTTACCTTCCCAAACAATGTGATTTAACATGATCGACGCTGCCGAGACAGACCGACTCATCGTGTTACAACAAAAGACGAGAAAGCAATGAACAGATATGTTCAAGCCATGATCGTGTCCCATTTCCATAGCACATTGTGCCAGAAACTTGAACGCTATGTCACATGACAATTTTTTTATGGTAATCAGTGACCGTCAATCCAAGTACAGCTTACCATCGAGCGTTAGCGGTGCTTTACCTTCGGAGATCGGGTGGTCTCCGTTTTGCTTGAGTAAAGCAATCTGGCGCTAGTATCCATTGGCAAAATCTACTTGTAGTTAGCGTAGCAGCACAAAGAACAACGAATACGTCACATACCCTGTAGCATGGACAGTAGCTCGTCGCTGAGGACGCGCCCTTCTTCTTTGTAGAGATGCTTGATTGCGTTGGAAAATCCATTGATGTTGGAGTACGAATTGTGCTTGCGAGGAGTCATTTCGCGTCCTTTGGAGTCGCGTTTGATGGATATATGCAAGGAAACTTTGGCACACAGCCTTTGTCACAGGGAGGGCCACTTGACCAAACTGCGTTGGAGCTCGTTGTCAACGCTTGGTATCGGAAACAACGAGAACGACTCCTTTACCGGTAGTCCAACACCATTATTCAATAATCAAAATGGACATTCGAGCCATATTTTCAAAACGCCATAATAGTAACAATATCTCAATTAAAAATGGTCCTCCCATTTTGGTGAGGCCGATTTGCATTATGTACCATTTTGCCTCAAAATGGCGTTTTGGGGGGTGTACCTCTGCCCTGAATGTTCGCTACAATAGCGAATCTTGAAGTTCCGCAACGATTGCTACAAGTGTACCACTGTGTATCCATTGCGTCGATTAAATTTATTATTTACAAAGAAAGTGATATTATTTTAAATATTATTGCGCCCCAGGATTTGCAAAATGTCAATGGCATCATCGTCGATAACGTCTTGCACATCAAGATCCTTCAGCTGCTATGAAACTCAATGGACCTTGATGCGTGGCGACACGTCGGAACATGGGTCGAGCTTGTCGTTGAGATTGACGGCGGCACGTTTCCAAATAAGGCGCATGGTGCTTCATGACGATGCTTCTTGCCACGCCAAAGTTGGCAGCCTCGGCAGCAAATGCACCATGCGGGGGGGTTGGTTGGTCATTGCCCAGTGTGAGAAGGTGCTGCAACACAGTCCGGTCCGAATTCTTGGGGCGTGGACTGACATTCTAAACTTGTTTCGAAAAACGAAGTACTATCCGGGAATCGGTCATCCGGATACGCTTGCGCCGAATATCACACAATAGGACAAAGTATGGGATCTGATTTCTCTCTTTGATTGGTTCAGTTTTGGCTCGAAGAATCTTGATTGGTATGCTCGCTCTGAAACCTCCTCTGCACATAACGTTAGGTAAGTCTTACATTCGTTTCAGATAACTCGACCGGTATCACGTTCATTTTTCAAAATATCTGATTGTAGCCAACATTTCAGGACAGAGGTAGTACTTTATTACAATATATTTCTGAGAAAACATTTGTTACCAGACGGGTACTTACAATATTCTGGCCCAAAACACCATTTTGGGGCCGAATTCAACGAATCTGATCAAAATTGACTGTGAAACATGTCTTCCTTGAAGACTTTTAACCCAAATCCAATAATTCCGAGTGTGGGATTTACGCCTTGAGCAGGTCCAAAACGCTATACTGTACTAGTATTACAAAGTGGACCTTTTACCTCCATTTTGAAAATGGCATTTTTCGTTTATCCCATTTTACCAAAAAAATGGAATATTATTCTTGAAATGTTACCAGACGCATGCACCCTTAGGGTATTGTGAATCACCTTAACGTTAAAATAATTGGT